CTCTCTACCGATTTTTGAGGTTCTCTATCTCTATATCCTCTCGTTTTTGTTACCGCGAACGTATCTCTCGATTTCGAGTTTTTAGATATCCCCAGATTTTTCTCTCTTCTAAATTCGTCTCGAGTTGTTTGGTAGATTTGATTGAGATTTTGATAAAACTTCGATTTTTACAATACCCAGCTGCTGCTATTTTGATTTCTAGGATTGCGTTTCTCTGCTAACTAGACCTAATTTGGAATTTTCCCAGGTTCGTGGATAAGAAGGATAAACAAGTAACCGGAGCAGCTACGATCGTTTTGATTCTAGATTTAGGACTTTACAAAATTCAATTATGAGTGCATCATGGGCAGATGTGACTGATTCAGAGAAGGCCGGTTCGAGGTCAAAACCTGCTTATGTTCCCCCAATGCTACGGAACAGGCCATCAGAGCCTGTTGCTCCTTTGGCAGCAAGTGATCGTTCAGGGTATGGTGGTCAACCAGGTGGGTCTCAATGGGCTCCTGGTGGCGGTGGCGGTGGCTATGGCCATAGGACTGATGCAGGGCGTCCCAGCTATGGTTATGGTGGCCGAGGTGGTGCCAGTGGTGGCTGGAACAACAGGAGTGGAGGGTGGGACCGTAAGGAAGTGAATCCATTTGGAGCTGATGCTGATGTAGAACCCGTTTTTACCGAGCAGGAGAATACTGGCATTAATTTTGATGCCTATGAAGATATTCCAATTGAGACCAGTGGAGGAGACGTGCCTCCTCCTGTTAACACATTTGCAGACATCGATCTTGGTGATGCATTAAATCTGAACATCCGGAGGTGCAAATACGTGAAGCCAACACCTGTACAGCGTCATGCGATTCCAATACTACTTGCAGAGAGGGATTTGATGGCCTGTGCTCAGACAGGGTCTGGAAAGACAGCTGCTTTTTGCTTTCCAATAATTAGTGGAATCATGAGAGATCAGCATCTACAGAGATCCCGTGGTTCACGGACGGTTTACCCTCTTGCAGTCATTCTCTCACCAACAAGGGAATTGGCATGCCAGGTAACATTACAATCTACTCATTCTCTCATAGAAAAGAGTTTATTTGGAAAAAAATCTATGTGTATTTCTCATTATGTGTTTTTTTGGCAGATACATGATGAAGCCAAAAAGTTCTCCTATCAAACTGGTGTGAAGGTTGTTGTTGCTTATGGAGGAACGCCAATTCAGCAGCAGGTAATTATCATATTCAGATAGTTTTTCTTGGTTTACAGCTTTTGTCTTTGGACATTGCTTATAGCACTGTTGTCTCTTTTATGTGAGTAGCAGCTTGTCCCTTACTGATTTGGGTTCTGCTAGATCTTTCCTTCCTAATGCCAGTCTCCGTAGTTGAAAATATGTTTCGATTTTGAAGTCTGCAATGCACAATTAATCTTGTACCTTACAATGCTAGTTAACATTGCCATTTCGCTTGTATCATCATTGCATAACATGCAGAATTGAGTTAATCCTGGTTTGTCAGTCAGTTTTCAAGCATCGATTTGTTGATCTCGTCTTTTATTGTTTTGTGCAGCTCAGGGAACTTGAGAGGGGAGTCGACATCCTTGTGGCAACTCCTGGCCGGTTAAATGATTTGCTAGAGAGAGCTAGAGTCTCATTACAGATGGTTAAATTTTTAGCTCTTGATGAGGCAGACAGGATGCTGGACATGGGTTTTGAACCACAAATTAGAAAGATTGTTGAACAGATGGACATGCCTCCACGTGGGGTGAGACAGACAATGTTGTTTAGTGCTACGTTTCCAAGGGAGATCCAGGTTGGTTTTACTTGCCAAGAAACACCCTTTTCTTGCTCTTAAAGTCTATTATAGTGAAGTAGCATTGGATGGAGAGCTTTAAATGTCGAAGGATAACAGTGTACTTCCTTCTATATCCGTAACTTTGTCCCTTCCCAGATCATGATGGTGAAAATTTGATGGTTTAGTTTTTGACTGGCAAAGAGATCAAATGCCTTATGCGTGTTATGTTTCATATCTTAGAAAGCTCCATAATATCAGCACAAGAATGCGTGGTTCTTATCGTTTTTAATACCTGCATAATTGTTTCTTGCACAGAGACTCGCAGCTGATTTCCTGTCAAACTATATATTTTTGGCTGTGGGAAGGGTGGGTTCAAGCACTGATTTAATTACCCAAAGGGTTGAGTTTGTCCATGAGTCTGACAAGAGAAGCCATCTCATGGACCTACTACATGCGCAGAGAGATACCCAAGACAAGGTAATGTGATTGTAACTATCTGTAGTTTACTTATCCAAGGCTTATTATCACATCAAATGGATCATAACTAGTAATGCTGTGACTCATGCTAGCTTTTCTTCTCTTTTCATATACAGCAATCTTTGACATTGGTTTTTGTGGAGACAAAGAGGGGAGCTGACACTCTGGAAAATTGGTTGTGCATGAATGAGTTTCCAGCAACCTCCATTCATGGCGATAGAACACAACAGGTTTGATGATTGATTGAAATTGCATTTCTTTGATATAATGTTAACATCAACAAACCTTCCTATTGTGAAGTAATATGTATACTTCACTCCAACTGAAACTAAAACCAAACTAAGTTTTTTATAAACTAGCTGGAAGTTATTGCTGAAATGATCACTTACAAGTTCATCATCAAGAAGTTTGTTATCTGTTGACTAGATCTGACTAACTTCCTTGTGTGTTTTATGCGTTTGAAGGAAAGAGAAGTGGCACTGAGGTCATTCAAAAGTGGGAGGACACCGATTCTGGTTGCAACAGACGTGGCAGCACGTGGTCTTGACATTCCACACGTGGCTCATGTAGTGAACTTTGATCTACCAAATGACATTGATGACTATGTTCACCGTATCGGACGAACAGGACGTGCAGGCAAATCTGGGGTAGCAACCGCCTTCTTCAACGAGAACAATGCATCAATGGCTAGGTCGCTCGCTGAGCTGATGCAAGAAGCCAAGCAAGAGGTGCCCGAGTGGCTCACACGATATGCTTCACGTGCTTCATTTGGTGGTGGTAAGAAACGGACTGGTGGTCGGTTTGGTAGCCGTGACTTTAGAAAGGAAGGCTCTTA